CATATCAGCCTTTGTTCTTGATATCATTCAGACCATTTTAGGATGATCTCGAGACTGAGGGCGGCCGAGTTGACCCAAAATGGCACATTGAACCCTCAACCCGGCACATTGAACCCTATGACGGCTTTCGGGATATATCGTTTTCTCCGACGTCTCTTGATTATGAGCTGGGATCTGTTCAAGAAAGTCTCGAAGCGCATTTGCCGCCAGTGGATCACGCTCGTACTCTTTACGAAAACTACTATACCTTCGAAGCTTGGTTGTAAGATAATTTTTGTTTTATGCTAACAATTCGCTTATAATTCGCTTAGTTATACAGTCATACCACGGAAAATCTTCGAAGAAAAGATTTTTAATCCTATATACGCCACTTCTCCCCCTTCATTACAACAAGTTGTTCATACAGATATCTGCATTATTTTCATGGTATTCTCAGTAGGAACACTGGCTGTACCCTCTCTTCCTGATTCAATTGAACGCCAAGAGCTCGAGAAGGTCTCCGCTCGATATCATCAACTCGGGAAGGCTGCTCTCTCTGCCGGACCGTCCTCTCTCGTCCAACCAACGATAGCTGGTATTCGCTGCATAGTAAGTGATATCCAGTTGATTTTTGAGTTCTTACCTCTTTGCATCTCAGTTCATAATGAGTGTTTATTACTCAACTTCCGACTATCCCCTTACTTCCCAAACGGTTTGGGCCTTGTTATACACCGCCATGGGCCACGCTATTAATGTAAGTGTGCTTATGTCTTGTTTTAGATTTAACTCATAGAATCATCCTTCGACAAAATTTAAAACGGAACTCCGAACGTGAAAGCCCCCTCAAGAAAAAAAAGCCCCGAAAAAAGGAACAACCCCCAAAAAACCGGAACCCGAAACCTGGGAATTGAAGTCCGAAAGTAAAAAAAAACCAAAGCAACCTTGGGGGGAAATGGAATTTGCAAGGTCCCCCCAAGGAAGGTTAAAAACCAAAAAAAATTCAAGCCAAACCGAGTTTGGAAAAGGGAAACCCAATTAAAAGAATGCCAACAAACAAAACAACCAAAGAAAGGTGGTTAAGGCAAAAAATCCGAAAAACCCCCCCAAAAAACCCCAAAATCAACGAATGGTCCAACCGAAAAAAAGAAAAAAAAATTAACAAATCCCCAAGCAAAAGTAAAAAAGGGTGGAAAGTTCCCGACGTTTTTGATAATCTCATCAGATGTGAAATCTGTACCTTGCACAGACAATTATGTGACACGGATTCTAACTAGTACGATCTTGAGCGAAGCCCATGACCTCATAGTTAGTGTCAAGCAAAAATATTCCGATATCATTGCTCTCGATAAAAGGATACGGGATGTGGTACCTGATCTGTGCGGAACTAGAGTAGGGAATAGAGAAGTATGTAATTACTTCCCATATTATTTTCATTATTAACCTGTCTTTTAGATTGACCCAGATAGGTTAAAAGCTCCCACTGTGGTGGAAACAATGCAGAAATTCATACTATTCCTCATGAATGAGTCATGTATGTATTGATAAATGTACTTCGCTATTATTTACTGATTTCAGGTCTTAACAGTGATCCTGAACTTGCATCGAAGATATTTTGTGAAAGTTTGCTCGGGCCCTTCAGGGGAGCTTACCACTTCGCGATATGCACCTTCATTCTTTGCAGCATTTCGAAGCGCACAAGCTTTGATTAATCTTCACAGAAGTCTATTTGCTGTTAACTCTGACTATCCATCCCGAAAATGGTAACAATGTCTTCTCTCTTTGCGAACCAAGTCTCTGAATTCCTTTTCAAGGTATTTCTGGAACCAAGCAGTCGTCATCGCTGTACGTTGTGTATTTTTATTTAAGCTACAAGTGTAAATCTTACCAATCTGTCAGATTATCGTTAGCTCCGTAGTCATTCATCATCCAAAATCAATTCTTGCGCAGGAGGCCATGGAATCACTAGATATAATTTGTGGCTTAGTGCGACAGTGGGTGGCGGTTGTGTCACCTAGAACATACAGACATCGACCTTACAGAGCGTTGGTAAGTAGTATTTATTCACTGTATGATCTTGCTGATCTGTCCTTTTTAGCAACTTATCACCAAAGTCCGCGAAAAGGCACACCGTTCCCTGACGCAGCCCGATAGCGTTTATCATGGAGAACTTCAAGCGACGGAGGGCGATTTCGAGCTGGGCGCCCTCAGTGGTCATTCGCGGACAATAGCGACAAAATATAACTCCTTATCAACATCCCCAGAAGTTTTGCCTACTGAAGACTCGCTCTTCAGTGCAGGAAATATAGATATTCATCCTACCCTTATGGAAGATGTCAGAATAGTCAGTGAACAGACCAACCTCCAAGTCCCTGGAAATGAAGTAGTATATATATCCTACCCAACCTATCAAGACTATCCAATATATACGGACCAAATACCTTCATCTCATCAACCTTCATATAACCTTGAAGATCTAGGCGTTGGTCCGGAGCAAATTTACGAACCCACCCATCCGTACCCCATTATTGAGGAATACGAAAACAACGGCTTACCTCCTGAACTTAACCCAAATATTGACATTTCTGCTAATATTCAAAATATTGCCGACAGCAGTTGGATGGGATTTGTCGCGACCTTGGGTTTAGACAACATCGACTTTTAGGTATAACTGTCGGGTCGAGTCTTTTTATATTGAGGAAAACGCTCCACGTTATGTAACATCGTAATCAGCTAGATTATATGACCGCTATATTATTCTACGTATCATTAATCGCAAAGCATAACAATGCAAGGGTGTTATTGACCTGATCTGGGAATCCGGTGAGGTGTGTGACTGGGAGCTTTGAACAAGGGGCAGATATATAGCGTTGTTTTATATCAGGAGTGGAACATGTGCATATCGCACTCCGATTTTGCTGACATATGGGACCTTCTACCTAATCGGACGCCGATATGTCGCTCTGACTATGATCACTTGACAGACCCTGAGTAACCTTGGTCCTTGAATACATAATAAAGAGTTCTACCCTCTATTCAATTAATGCTGTCAGTCTTAGGTAGAGTTTATACTTCAAAGCATCCGTGTTTCTTTTTCAAAAAATCACGAGGGAAATTAGCTTGCCAAAAGAACGTGAACTGAGCGAGGCCAGGTCATCAGGAAGCGGCCTTGATTGTGATCGGAATCCGATATAGTGGTTGTTTTAGCGCATTATTCTGTGAATATGTCAATTTTCTCGCAATACGCTTTATGTCGTGGAATCAAAGCTACCTTCTCAGACATATCGGACCTGATGCAGGCTGGCCACCGGCAGCGGTCACGGTGAATGGCTGACGCATCCTTATAATAATTACGTCGCTTTGATTTTCTGGTGATCAGGCATTTCTTTCCTCAATTTTTTTACCATTTGCAGTTATACTTATGAGAAGAGTAGCTTGTCAATATATTTCACGAGCTTTTTGTTCTGATCGGGATGGCTTACCACTATCATAGGGCCCCGATATCTAGGATTATTTTCCGGGCATTGTCCAGTCCGAATCCCCGCAATATTACCACGGCCATTTACATACCTTCTATGATAAAGTAAAGGTTGGTACTTTGGGACAAGGAACACAACCAACGCTGATAGTTGAGGCCCATCAGGAAAGCTGACACAGAATCCGTTTTAGCGCCCGTGCTAGGAGTGATAGGTGGTATGTAGGTCTATATACCGACTCCTAGTGACTCCGTACTTACCTATCCTACCTAGTGCTACCTAGCACTATGGGAAGTTTGGCGCGCGTGGCACGCTTTGCTGATGGAGGTTTCCATCATTTCATGAATGTCAGGAATCTCTCCAAAATGCACGCCGAGAGATGGAAGAACTTTCTTCCATATCTCATGCCACATCCTGGTATCTAAATCAGACTAAATTAGGCACTCTTCATAACCCAAGGTGGGTTCTGGAAGCTGATTGACGTGCTCCAGTGATCTGCATATCATGATGGGCATTATCAGATGCTTCTGCAAGTATCTGGAAAGTCTATCATTACGAGGGTAAATCACTCACATAAATGTCCGAATTGGTGACTTCCCACTTCTAACTTAGGCGACACCGCCCCTAGCGAACCATAAGCAGATGCACAGCAAGGGTCACCTTTTCTTCTCTTCAGCCAATGTCAGTGGCACATTGCCTCCTGTGATCCTAGAAGATTCGAGGTTCTCTATTATGTCAAAACAATGAGCGTATAGGCTATTAATACTACACGGAAGGAGGCAATGCTTGAGATCCGAGGGAAGCGTACTTACCTCGGAAACAGAAACTCAACGAAACCTGGATTTAGAATTAAATAAGACCGCGTAAATTTTGGGCGGTGCGAGAATATGTGTAAGAAAGTATGTATTAACGCTAAATATTTGAAGGTACACCAGTCGGAGATTCGGCTTCAAGTCGCGTGCCAAGAATGGAATGCAAAACCTGAGTCGAGCCGCTTCAGGGTGTTGAAAAAGGCAGGCTCAGTAAGTGCTTTTGAAATCCAAGTAGTGGGTGCGCTGGAGCTGTAGTCTTGAAATGTGATCAGATCCTAAACTGCGCTGGAGTGGGAAAATACATGTATGCAATTTAGCCAAGTTGGAGCTCATCTATGAACATTGAGGTGGAACATGGCCTGACACCTTTTGACATAGGTTTGATGTATCAGAGCTAAAGATATTTGGTAGTGTGGCGTATTTGTACAGACAGTCACAACGGCCCGAACCACCCATTGCATCAAAGAAAGGAAGAAAAGAAAAACAGAGCCTGCGCAGTTTTTCGATTATTTTGGGGCGAGTCGTTGGTGAGCTGGCGGCACTGGTCGAAGGCTTTGTCCGGCATCTCCCAGTAATCAGACATCCCGAGTAAGCTATTTCCATGCGGCATTGACGCACAAGCTCCATATTAGAACAGTTTAGAACAGCTATTGAACCTAAAAATGTTATTAGACTTTCTAATAGCATGGATTTTCCCCCGGCCGCCGTGTAGCGCATCATACAAACCACCCACCAATCTTAGGTAGTATATGGTTAGTATTCGCGCTTGTCAAGAGTTATACCCCGACTCAACGCGTGCGCGAGACCGGGGTTCAATTCCCCGCCTGAGGGGTTTTTGCATGCTTTGACTCTCCAATGGTCACATTATTCAGGTTGGAACGAATGAAGGGGAAACAGGGCATTGTTGAGAAGCACCGGTTTTCTTGATGGAGCCACTGTGATCGTGTAAGACCTTCCTTACATTTTTTATGGAATGTTCAATGGATTGATTCACTCCAAACGCAACACAGGAGAAGGCTTTACTGGATTTTGCCACTTTAAGAGTAATAATATACATCACACCATGGTAGTAACGGTGGGCGCTTGATACTTTCTAGGTATTATTTATTGACACTACATTTACAACGCCATTGAGAAAGGGATTTTCTTTCTTCATATTCTTCATAATTTACCGGAGGATGGAGTGTACCGGCCTGAAATCATAGTTGGCCGCTAAACACAAGCCCACTTGGTTGCCCTGCGGGCCTCAGTGTATTTGTGGGAGCTCAACTGAGGACTTTAAACTCTGGTTACTCACTTGGTCGATCGGATCAGGATATAAGACGGTCTTCCAAAGCGTTCGTCATAGCTCATAGAAATCCAGAAATTGAAAAAAAATAATCTTCACAGCTTCCTACCGGCGCAGTCTCAGGCTCCCACTCCTAACGGACTCTTCCAAAGCGAAAAGAAAGAAAAAGGGGTAAATTTCTCCTAGTCAAGGGTCAAAGTAATTGCGCTCCCAATTAATTGTGTAACGTACGTTTCCTTCCTTAAACGCGTCACACGCCGGCCAAGTACCGCAGTACCTGTGCACCGCTTAATGTCATCGACTCAGACTCTGCAGTCAATCCCGAAACGGAGCACTGCAGGGCGCAGGTCATTTTAGGCGGAGGATGCGGGCACCTGACAACACATGTACTTGGCACAGTTCGTGCCAAAATGTCAGTCTGACTCTTCTAGTCATTTATCCATAAGGAGGTCAATGGGGAATATACACATGGCTTTGGCATTTGGGAATAATGAGGTCAGGTGCTAATTGATCAGCGTTTACCGAGGAGTCTTTAAGGACGGAAACTTCCCAAATAACAATGGCGAGGCACAGCCTTATCAGCCTTACGGACTGGATGGAAACCGAGTCCTTGGCTCTGTCAATGACTCTGGCTTGCTTTGCATTTACTGACTACGGCCTGTGGTCACAGTATAGATAAGGATATCAAAAATACTAGATCAAGATTTAGTCTCGATTTCAAGAGAAAATAACCAGTGCTTGCTTGGAAACCACCCCTTTAACTGAAGTGCCGGTGAGTTGGGCTTTTCTTTGGCATTACAGCCCTAAGTCTATAGGTATGGCGATAGATAGATCGATGTCGAACATGCCTCAAAATCAAGTTTTTGAAAATGGTAGTAAGTATCATGATGAGCTTTACCATGTGCTCTAAATCTGACTACAGCTACAGATAAAGATAGCCCCGGGAAGATCAAATAACACCCCCCTTCGAAATTTCAGGAAATATTAGGAAAAGAAGAGCCAATGCTTAAACTTAAGTATGGCGCCACTGGTATGCTGAGCTTTGCTCTGACTACGGGTACAGGTATACGTAAACATTTGAACCGCCTCAGTTCGAAAATAAGGAGATACGGAAACACGGAAATAACGAATCGAGACGCCTTCCCTATCTTCATCACAGCAATTGCAACATATCAAATGAGATAAATCATTGCACCGCCTATCTACGCGACAATTATCTTCAGCTGGAACTCAAATTCTGACATCAGTATTGTACTTCTCTGAGCCTGAGCCTGAAAACATGAGGTAAAACCCGAGGCTGAAGGGTCGAGTTTGATTCCTCGCAATTCAAAAATAAAAAGCAACCTGCCTTATACTCTTTGAAGAATCGGATGAGCCTGAGGTGAGGTGGTGTCTTCAAATGCTCTACTCGAGTTTAGGTTGCGGGACGCGGGCCGTTGAGCCGGATTATAGGATTAATTCACGATTTTTTCGACCCCGGTTGAAAGACCCAGCAGTATAATACAACTTATCTAACCATAAAGCCTGACCCCGAGGTTTGCAACCGAGTCCAAAATCCCCACCAACCCCACACACATCAAGTCGACTGGCAAGCCAACCAACTAACCAATCAGCTTGACCTCGCAACTCCAGTATATCAACTGTATCACATCATTCCTAGCAGTGTCACCGCTCCTCACTGGCGTGGAAGAGCAACAACATTATGATTCCTTGTATAGGCTGTAGCTACTGAACCCGGCCGGGGTTACACCGAATAGGCAGAACCGTTCATCCGATTCCGGCGAGTGACCCTCCAAATCCATAAATTATGCCTTGAATCCTATTTACGTTATCTTATTGTCGACTCACTCGGAATTCGGATGTTGGTAAAATACTACTTCTTAATTGAAGTTAATAGTAACTGCCTCTCCGGCGACCCCTTAAGTAAGAGTGTAAGTAAATCCTCATGATCGGGCGCAGTCAATCGTTGGTAATTAAATCATTGAATCATAAATCATAATCAAGTACAAACGAGTTCATCCTGATTCCTATGTCGCTCTCTACCAGATCTGGAGAAAAGGAGTGAATCCTGTGCTGGAAGTCACGGCATCGATGAATCTCCTCCATTTGGAATCTGGATTGGGACGGCAAGGCGTGGGCGTGATGGTCCAGGGTGAGAGTGATGGTCCAAGCGGCCGGGAAGGAGGGAATTAGTACGACATGCTCATGAGTGAAATGTACTTCCAGTCAGCATTGCAGATTTACCTTATATACAAAATTTACTCAAGGAAAAAAAATGGTTTAAAAATAAAATAAAAAATTAGTAAATAAATAAAAAATTAAAATTAAAATAAATAAAGAGAGAATAAACATTTTTCATTTCCTCGCATCTACGCCCAGAATTCGAAACTAATATCATTAGGATGAGATGCACTGATGATGTGGCTCGTTGACGGTGGGAGGAGACGAGCTCCATCGACTTGGAGACTCAACTGCCATTCCAAACGAGGCTGGTGCGACAAGGGCTTAGTGGCAACTGATACCATCTATCCACACACATTTAAGCCCAGGAAGATTCAGAAAGATTTAAAAGAAAGAAAGAACGTGTTGTTGAAGATCGGAATACCCTTCATTGGGAGAGACGAGATGTACTGAACCTGAATCTACGCGCAAGTAAGGTCAAATTCAATGATGATGGGCGGTGGTGGGAGGAGACCTCGGGGATATCCCCCTTCGAGTTCGAGTGTTTCAATTCTGAAATAGAGCAAAAGACGTATCCCTTCAGATTCAGATGAAATGACAGCATAGGAGGGCCGCTCGGTTCCATAATGAGAAGTACTACTAGTAGTAGGAGTAAGGCTTAAGGATATATTTATTTACATGTTCGCGCTAAGGATAGAACGCGACTTCGAGCAGTGGCATGAAGGTAAATAAAAATTCAGTTGAACGTGCCTGAGAATTTCTTGGGAAATACGATACACAGGCACATGCAACCCCAGCGCACTTTAAAAAAAGTCTTAATCGAGCCTCGAGCTCATTCTCGGAGCTCGATGAACTCAGGCTAACCTCAAACAGTCAAACTCAAACAGCAAAACGAACATGAGATCAACCCCAATATCATTAAAGAAGAGTCCCTCCATATGCTCCCCCCCTCCCCATTCGCCTCCCCATTCGCCTCCCAAGCATCCAGCTATTCCAGACAATCCTCACCCAAATACGGTTCTTCTTTTCTGATTCGACTATTCGACTAGCACACAGGGAAAGTCAAACAAGAAGAGGTGGACATCAATCAACCTCAGGCATCATGATGCTGATGCGGATGCGGCATATTTTTATGCCTTTGATGGCGATTAATTTACGACGGTGGTGGGTATATATAGAGTTGCTTCTTACCTCAAGTATAGGTTGAATCGAGGGTCCAGAGGCCGGGAAACCCGGGGGGGAAGGGAAAAGAAGGCGGAAGGGAGGTGAGGTGAGAGCCTACGGCTGTGGGACAGCGGCAGAGGTACCTTTGTTTATATTTGAGAGTCTGAAGATATATGAGAAGTAGATGGAAATTAAATCTTCTTCGATTGAGCTAATGTCGGATTTCTGTTAGTCCCGACACGGAACCTCGGGCTCAAGACTCACCGTTCGAGACTCTGGAGCTGGAGGAAGGTGGCACTGTTTTTATCATAAGCTTTAGCGTCGTTAGTTCAGACATAATCGAGAGACGAGCAAAGTCAAACGATATCCTTCATACATGTCGGATTTAGTGGATTCCGACACGGGAAATACCAGAACGCGACTCTGGCGAGTTAGAGGTAAAATTGAAAAGGGTACTTCTATCGCAAACATTACAGTGCCGTTTAAATAATGTATACAATATACAATCCGAATCTACGTATGAGCCTACAATACAATACAATACAATACTCACGTTGATCTCATGTCCGCCACGATCCACGGATTTCAGTACCCTCCGAGGTGGCACTGCGGTAGTGTCCTGGTTACATACTGCATACTGCAGTCTATCAATGCGTATGTATCAGCATTCTCGACTCGATTCGGTCTGCTTCAAAGGCGTCGAATTTCGGGGTTGAATTTGGCTGCCAGCGAAGTGGCCCAGGCAGACATGAAGCGAGCTTAGGCCAGGCCCGTGAAAGGGGCTCAAGGAATGAAAGGGGCTCAAGCAGCGCGCTGAAGTATCTACTATCAAGATTCGGATGGCATGTGCTCAGCGGGTTTGAGTTACAGTAGTGCCAGTGGTCCTGGTTACTGACCGTCTACCTATCATAATGGATTAGAGTACTTGAATGATTTGCAGAGATTCTGATCTTAAAATTTGGGCTCGGATTTTGGGAGAGTCCGGGATCTGCCAATGTAATGTAAATGTTAAATGCAACAAGCATTGTAGACAAATTAACGCAGTGGGCAGCCTGATATACTAGTACAGTAGGCAGATATACAGCGATTGATGCCACTGACAGTGAAGGAGTCTCGTGGGCAAGATATAAGGATGGCAGTCACGGTGAGCGACATGCATCATGATCACTCAATTTATGGTGGGGACCTCGGACTCGGT